TATTTAAATGGCCATCTATTACAGAATAATAACTGAGAGAGAGAGAGAGAGAGAGAGAGAGAGACATTAATAGGGATTCTGGGGATTCATTCTCTTCTGGACAGTTGTTTAAAATGTGAATTGAGTGGACTTTCCCAGTTAACCTATTCTGCCTATCCTGCCGGTTAAAAAACCTCACACCAATGAGTACCAATTTGTGCAAGGCTTGAGCTATAAAATATTAAAGTGTGATGTCCATATTACACAAAATATTACCAAAAATCCATTTAGGATTTTTTTCTTTGTTAGAGAAACAGATAACTTACAGTTTTGACCAGGCTTAATTTTTCATGAATAACCTGAATATATATTACTAGAGATATGTAAACATCTGAAACTAAATATGTTTGTCTGGGCCTTATCTAAATGTTCTGTAAAAGTTTATAAAACAAAAGTTCACATAGGTTTAACTAATCAGTGCTGTCTTTCACATATTGCATCTGGCATAAATGGCCACACTGCCATTTGAGAAGCTGGTTTACATCTCTCTGCTTTAACTAAGTCTAGTTCTGATCATTAAAGCTGTTCCCTAAATGTATAAGAGATTTAAGGCTATTCTTTGATTTTTTTCCCCTAAACTCTGTAAACCTGTAATTATGTGAATTCTGAATTTTATTGAGAAAAACTAAACCTAGTTAATCTAAGGACATCTGTGTAATGTTGATGATAACTATTAATTCTTTGTATATTAATTATACTCATGTTCTTCTAGTATACAAGTTTTAAAATATAAAGCTTGGAAAAGCACTTTGCCAAGCTAGTATCTCCAAACTAAAATTGTCTGAAATGGTAATTTTAAACTTGAAGAAATAACAAATTTAACTGGAGATTTATTTATGTCATTTAATGTTCTGTAACAAGACCTGTTATCAATAAGATGTATGTAAATTTTATGTTACTTTTTACACTGGGATAGAAATTTAAATGTATTTTTAAAAGATAATGAGAGGTTGGGCACAGTGGCACACACCTATAATTCCAGCGACTTGGGAGGCCGAGGCAGGAGAATCACGAGTTCAAAGCCAGCCTCAGAAACTGTGAGGTGCTAAGCAACTCAGTGAGACCCTGCCTCTAAATAAAATACAAAGTAGGGCTGGGGATGGGGCTCAGCGGCCGAGTGCCCCTGAGTTCAATTCCCTGTTTAAAGTGGCTATTGTAAAATATGGAGACATTTTACCACTCCCCCCCACCAAACACACACAAGGGTTAAAGGCTCTCCAAGCGTTTCTTTAATTTTGTATTTCAGAAGTAAAGATGTATTGTGCTATTTGGAAGAGCCCTACCTTACCTAAGATAAAGCTCTGCTCCCCACCTTACTCCATGTCAGAATGGCTCCAAAACAGGCCAGACTTCAGCTCATTTAAAGTTCTGTTCAAAAGACTGATTTTTGTTGTAAAGATTACTGTGATCTCAAACATGGGATATAATGAATAACTAAGTAAAGGTTCAAGATTATAAAAATCATTTTTCTTGGTTCATAGCTATTATACAAACTGAATATGTTTTTGCTGTTAATTTCATTTTATATGTTCCTTGTAAACTTTATAACTGTTACCTGTTAATGTTTTGCAGAGGTACTAATTCATCTTCTTCTTGTTTTTTTTTTTTGTTTTGTTTTGTTTTTTGTGGTGCTGGGGATTGAACCTAGGGCTTTGTGGATGTAAGGTAAGCACTCTACCAACTGAGCTATATCCCCAGCCCTTGAGGTACTACTTTTAAAAGAATAAAAAAAATCAACTCGGGTTAATTTGAGAGAATAAGCCATCACCTACAGGACAAATGTATATAATGTTGACTTCCAGCACTAATATTAACACAATTAAATGAAAGGGGTAATGTGAAATTGTAGGTAGTGAAGTGATAACCTGTTACTCCTTCTTTAAGGCTGGTGAAACTGACTTGCTGGGTGTTTTTTTGTTTGTTTGTTTGTTTTTGTGGTGCTGGGGATTGAACCCAGGGCCTTGGCCTTGTGCATGCGAAGCAAGAGTTCTATCAACAGAGCTATATCCCCAGCCTCACTTGCTGGGTATTTAAACCAAAACTTGGAGACCACAGTCAAGGAAATACAAGAGCCAAGGATAACGCATCCACTATTTAGCCTTTGCCCTCTAAGGTCAGTCAGCACCCGGAAAATGATGGGACCTCTGGAAGGGCTCCAGACTGAGCTGCTGAGTCACCTGGTCTGCCTATCAGGGAGACTGAGGGGACCCTAGAGAACAGAAAGCCAACCAGTGGGCTGTATTCTGCAAAGAGGAGGGACACTGGAAAATGAATGGCTAAAGCTTCCAAGAGAAGCCACATGTGTGGTCATCAAGACCCTGACCGGTCTCTTCCTGGCCTATGTCACCACTGATAGAGGAAACCTAAAGGATTCCAGATGAGGCTTCACACCTGTCCCCCAGAGTGACATTTCCCTAAGGGTGATCTTTGAGGAATCTCAGCTGACTTTTGAGATTAGATAAGAATCAGGAAGTTTTAGCTAACTTGATCTTAAACACTTGGCAGGAGAGTACAGCCTGAGCACAGTCCCACACAGACGTTTAAAAGGAAAAACAGTGTTGTTGTTGTTGTTTTTTAATGTAACTTAAAAGATACACTTGTGTCAGCCCTAACAAAAGTAAGTAAAGCTGGAGGCTGTAAAGGAAGGGTCTTTAATGAGATTGCCTAATATTTAACCATCACAAAGGACTTCAGAGACACAGGCTTGTCCTGCATTCCAGACACTGGCTGAAATACTAATTGTTTTCATATTATTTATTTACCATAAAAGTAATGCTTTGCTGTCTTGTTATTGTTGTTCTAGCACAAACCTTGCCCTATGTGTACCTTGGATGTCTTGTCTGTGTCATCACCTATCTGGAACACAAACAGTGGAACTTGGAATATCATTTTATAGCATTCATTGAAAATAGCTTCCAAATTCCTGTTTATGCTAGCATTGTGAATTGTATTGATTGTAACAAACCTATGATTCATGAAAAATTGTTGTGAACAACCTTAATTTAGATTTATAAGTTTACTGTAGGCTACTAGGTTTGAAATGACATTTAGATACTGTTGCAGATATTTCATGATAGATTCACTAGAAAATTGAAATATTTAAAATATAGGAACAACATGAAACAATGAAAAACAATACCATTTATCAGGAGATGCTTAATTCTATAACAAGGAATGTAAATCAAGCTCATGTCATTGTAACATATATACAACATTGTTGCTTTCTACAGAACAAGTATGTACATCAGAAATAAACTTGTTTCTAGATCCTTGGATTTCACGCAAAGCTTATGCTGAGAAGTGGGTATATCCATACATTCCCACATACTTGTGATAACTTTAAAAACCAAATAACCCATCTGTTCATATCTAATTTTCATGCCTGTAACTTAGAGTCTTTGGAGTGCATAGACCATGTAAAAGACACAGTGCTATTAGAACATAATAGATTCACAACTGCTGTCATTGCTTCACAAAAGCTTAATATTGAGCCATTTACCTACTCTTCTACTACAACCTGATCCAACCAATGAGATAGACTCAGCTCTTGTCCTTAGATACAAGGAACTAAAATGCAATACTTATAAATGTGTACTTTTATGCATAAAGCATATTTTCCAGAAGTACTGCAGGTCATAATACCTAAACATGCAAAAATATTGATCTTAATAGCAGGACCAAACCAATATCGGCACATTCAGGCCAATATCCACATTTTACATTAATATTGAATAAATAATAAAGATATTGAAACAAACTAAGAAAAATAAAATCAGAATCCAATCATTTAATGATTATTTTCATTACTGCATGATATATGCACATGCAAACTGTCAGGTCAGTGGCGGTGACTTAGGACAAAGCAGCCCATGCGGGAAAGAAACATCAAGCAGGCGCCAATGGAAATGCCTGTCAATCAGTGGGATCTCCTGGCTACCGCCTGTCTTCTGGCCAATCCTGGGGTTCAGCCAGCTCCCCCTACCAACTCCAGCGGGACAAGGGACTCTAAAAACACCTTTTCCTGTCCCAAGCCCTTCCCTTCCTGCCTAAGCCACATAAAATTCCAGTCCAGTCGAGCCCCAACGCTGTTTCTCCTCAGACCCTTCTTCTGTCCCCTCTGTCAGTCTCCCGAGTTCCACTCGGGAGCCAGTCTCAAATAAAGCCTCCTTCAGTGGCCTTTTTTTTTTTTTTTTCTGTAAATATTTATTTTTTAGTTGTAGTTGGAAACAACATCTTTATTTTACTTATTCATTTTTATGTGATGCTGAAGATCGAACCCAGGGTCCTGCACAAGCGAGGTGAGCGCTCTAGCTGAGCCACGACCCCAGCCCCTTCAGTGGCCTTTTTAAATCTGCCTCCTTTGGTTGCCGCTCGCCTTGCCTGATCTCACACAAAACTGAGGAAATACACTGACCCAGACCTTAGTAAACCTCATGAGGATTTTGATCTGTTACAATGGATAGAACCAGGATGGATTCCAGACTAGGCACTGTTTTTCAGGATGGATGTTTGTATTATTATGAAAACAAAATGCCAAAAACAAGTATTGTAACACCAATGTATGTCAATCCTGAGGGACCACCTACGTTCGTTTTCTTCAGCCAATACTTAGATTCAATGTGTCTCAGAGCATTTGATAACCTTGTGGTGACTATTGTAATCAACTGGGCAAAGCAAAGGAAGTAGTCCATTGGGACCTATCTATAAGAGGAACATAAATGTTCTAACCCAATTGTGCCACCTAGTTATGATTACATTGTGATTACAATTCTAGACCACATCAGTCTAAAACAGATGTAATTACACTGTGGTCACCGTTGGTGCTTATGAGATGATTCAACAATCCACGGTGAGGAGTGCCGATGTCATAACAAGGTTTAGAGGGAGGCACATCTCACACAAGAGCGTGAACACCCAATCATCACGCTTATGAACCGAAGGATCGAGGAGTGACTTTTGGACATGTGTGGAGTCCAGTCTTTGGCCAGCAGAATAGGTGATGCCTCTATATTAATTCATAGCACCCACTTTGGGCATCCCCCAAGCACGGGCACTGTGAATCAAGGGGGTGGACTGTAAGGATGGCCTTAGGCCTGAGCTTAAACAACTGCATTTTAAAATAAAATTGTAGTCCTCACCAGGCAAGCCACGAATCCCTCCAATATGTCAATCAGGCATAGCCTGATGAAGCAAGTCACTTTCCACAACCCTGGTAAGAGTTAGGGTAAAGTCACACGTCATTTGTCTTAGCCCTGGTAAGAGTCAGAGGTGTGATATCAGGGTGGAAATCACCAGACCATACGTCCGGACTCTAGGAGGCAAGAAGTCACTAAGAAACCTGGTAACAGCTGATAGAGACCCAAAGGGTGAACAGAAGCTCCTCAAATTTAGTGTAAATAATAGAGCAAAAGGACAGACATTCAGCCAGCTGACACTGGTGCATACAGCCTGAGAGCCTGATGAGGACCTGGATCTGGCATCCCTGCTCTTCTCATCTGCCTGATCTTTTGCGTGGTCCTCACCACTCTCAAAACTCTACAGCAGCTTCTTGACTCTGGTGAGAAAAAGACGTCTCTTGTCTCTTTACCACCTGATCCGTCTCCTCAGCCAGCCGTCAACTCCACTATAATCTGAGTGAGTGTGCGTCTGCTGGACTTAAGATCTAAAGACTTAAGACTTTAAATCTAGCACTTACGCTTAGCATACAGGGGGAATGTCTGCAATAGGCCTGTCATGATTAAATGTGTTTGCAGTGCTTTGAATTTAACATAGAATTGCTTGCTTTAGTGGATTATGTCTATTGCAGTGCCCAGCCTTCTTAAGGATTTTCATTCCTTGACTAAGAACCTATAGAGTGAATAAAATATTGAAAAGGGCAGAAATGCATGGACATTCTTGAACTCTCCCCTCCACTCAGATGTTGCACTCTTGCCCATCGCGACACTGTTTCCATTGAACACAAAACTGTGTCCCACTATGTCCCATGTGGCAGGGGTGGGAGTGACTGAGAGCCCAGCTGTGGGATGAGGAAGTCACAACTGATTGCGGTTAAAGTATTTTCCTTTTGTAAATGTTACTAAATGATGCGGGGGGTGGTGGTGGTGGCATTCACCTGTAGTCCCAGCTACTTGGGGGAGTAAGGCAGGAGGGTCACTTAAGCCCATAAGTTTAAGACCAGGCTGGATAACGAAAAACCTATATCAAAAAAAAATTTTTTTTAAACTAAACTTAGGACCCTGCAAACACTTTGCTAAGGCCCCAACCTGGAAGGAATTAGTCCTTGTGACTTCACAGTGAACCTGACCCTGGAGCTCCAATTCCCTAGGCAGCACAGACACCTCCTGGCAGACAGTGTCTCACCTGGAAGGGATCCCACGCAGGACCTTGAACTCCTAGTGCCGTTCCATGGGGCTGCTGGGGGGTTTGGGAAGACCAGGGCGTCCTGGAACCGCAGGGCCACTGCCCACAGCATAGGCTGTGAGGCAAGTCTTTGGTGTGCAGCACTGTCCCTTGGAGGTCAGGTACTCAGGGATCTTGGAATGGAAGTGCTGGCAGAAGAACTTTAGGTAGGAAGGCAAAATCATGTCCAGGGTAGGTGGTAGTGAAGTCAGAATTTAAAAAGCAGGTGGTCAGTGTAGATAGAAAACTCTAGCCAGATTTAAGAAAACTGAACAAACCGGTTTGGGTCCAAAGGTTTGAAACTGTGCCTATGGGAAATTGAAATGTTAATGTTCCCAAAGTCTGGCTTAGACTGCCCATCTGAAGCTTTGTTAATGAAGCAACTCCTGAGCGCATGGGGCCTGCTAATTAATTCACCCTGGGCTCCCTTGCTGCCTGGATCCCTCCTCCCTGGCCCCTCCAGCCCGCTTGTTCCCACCTTTTGGCCATCTCACCGAGCATTTCCTGGGCCTAGTCACAAAGGCTGGGAGGAGAGATGAGGGGAAGAGAGTGGGAGAACAAGGAAGGCTAGGACCTAAAAAGGCAACACCCTCACTCTTGGGACACCAGGAGACCACTATGGCTCCCTTCTCTCTCCCGGGAGAAGTCTACGTGACCCCTTTTTTATGTGCCTGCTTCGGCGTGCTTCCCTAATACTGTGCTTGAACACAGGAAGAAGCAGAACTCGGCACTGCTAACCGGGGTATCAGTAGTGTGGGAAAGAGAAATCACGCCCCTGTCTAGGCACACAGGGTCTGGGGTTGTTGCCTCTGATGCTCCAGGCTGGGCAGCGGCCATGCGACTCTCAGGAGAGGGTGAGAGAACTGGGGTGATCCTTGGTCCTTGGGTAAAATACCTACAGAAACAGAGGTACAGCAAAACAGGAATGGTGAAGAGAGCAGGTTTATGAAGGGGAGGGAGAAGCAAGAGAAAGTAAGACGCACCCTGGTGGGGACAGGCCTGCAAGGGATGAGACACCCCGACACAAAGCCTTGGACTCTTGTGAGGTGGGACTGGCGAGTTGACCGTGGCCCAAGACCTGGGGGGCGGGCAGGCAGCCATGGCTCTGCTGCGTGGTGCTTGTGCTGCCCCTGCACCTGTGCACTGAGTCATGTTGCCCTTCTGGCTCAACAGCACCAGTGGAGGGGCATCTCAAGGTTAGTGACCCTCAGGGCAGTAGGTGGGCACCCTCAGGGCAGTTGGTGGGTGATCTTGAGAGCGTGATGTGTGCAACTCCATTATGGAGAAGGGAGGTGGGCCCCTTTTTGGGGTGTACCTCACTATCTTACCTCTTAATAGTCTTCCACGGGGGGGGGGTTCTTCCATAGCCCACCCTCACAAGGTGAGGGGGAGTTGATGTCCTGTGGTGTCACATGCTGGGTAGCGAGTGCCCGTCAGGGCCCCATCACAGCCACGCCCTTCTCACCTGCTTCTGCTTCCACTTATCTCTAGCCAGCTACCTTTGCTAACTAGATCCACTACTATAGTTTGGATCTGGAATGTCGCCTAAAGTCCCCTCTGTGGAAGGTGGTCTCAACCCGGTGCTGTCAGGAGGCGGTAGAACTTCGGGAGGTGGAGCCTGGTAGGAGGAATTTGGCTCTCTGGGGGTGCGCCCTTGAAGGGGGAAATTGGGACTCCAGCCCTTTCCTGTCTCTGCCTTTTACTTCCTGGCTGCCCTGTGCCTTTACCCCATGAGCCCACCATGATGGGCCGAGGCTCCAAAAGGTGAGCCAAAATATCCAAAAGGTGAGCCAAAATAATCCTCTCCTCCTTACCAGCTGATCATTTCAGTGGTGGAAAGGTGTTCGCCTACCCACGCAGAGCCACTGTCCCTGCCACCAATGCCGCTCTGTTCATGAACCTCTGCACAGACACAGCTGTGACATATTTGTCTGCTAATCCAAAATCTGGACCCTTTAGAGGGAGTTACTTTTGCCTACTTCTGTTTCTGTTCAAGAGTCACACTAGCTGGGCCTGGTGGTGCGCACCTGTCATCCCGGCGACCCAGGAGGCTGAGGCAGGAGGATCATGAGTTCAAAGCCAGCCTCAGCAAAAAGCCAGGCACTCAGCAACTCAGCGAGACCTAAATAAAATACAAAAAAGGGCTGGGGATGAGGCTCAGTGGTTGAGTGCCCCTGAGTTCAATCCCTGGCACCAATAAATAAATAAATAAGAGTCACACTACCCTTCCTCTTTGCACATGTCATCATTTTGTGTTTTTGTTGTTGTTGTTGAAAACTGGTTATTTTGGATAATATCTTTTGGCAACTCCACATAATAATTAGGCAGTCCCCCTTGGGCATGTTGTGTTTTATTAATTTAGCGGCCTGCCTGGCCCAACTCTGTGAAGTCCATCTCCCGCCATGCGCAGCTTCTGACAGCTCTGCTTGGTTTCCCCATAGCTATTATTATTATCATTATTATTTTCGGTACCAGAGATTGAACTCAGGGGCACTGGACCACTAGCCACATCCCCAGCCCTTTTTGTAGTTTACTTAGAGACAGGGTCTCATTGAGTTGCTTAGTACCTCACAGTTGCTGAGGCTGCTTTGAACTTGTGACGCTCCTGAATATGAATGGGGGAAGCTTTGTGGAGTCTGACTGCTCATGAGAGAGCCATGCCACAGGGGCAGAGATGGAGGGAGAGGGCCACAAGCCAAGGACAGCTGGCACCATGCAGAAATGGAAGAGGCAGGGAAGGTAACATGGACCACTTCACCTTCTGCATGTAGCTCTGAGGCTGATTTTTAAAGGAGACATGTTTTTCTTTTCCTCATCTTCCTTTCCCTCTCCTTAACCTGGGGGCCAGAAACAAGATTACCTTAAGTTATCTGTCCTCCACAGGAAGGAGATGTCCTGGAAGAAACAGAAAGTGACAATCTCCCAAATTAACAGGTGGATGTCAACACAGCACCAGGGTGCACTGTGACCCCGTCAGGGCACACCTGGATGTAGCCTTTGAAGAGCGTCTTCAAAAGCCCTGTTTTCCCTGCTCGGCAGAACCACAGCCTCTGGGCAGGAGCCCCCTGAGTTTCCCCTTTGCCAGCCAAGAAATAAACTTCTTTTTCCTTTTCCTCAAAACTGTGTCCTTGTTATTAAATTGGCGTGAATGGGGGGCTGGTGTTGTGGCTCAGTGGTGGAGTGCTCATCTAGCATGTGTGGGGCCCTGGGTTCCATCCTCAGCACCACATAAATGGAAAATAAAGACATTGTGTCCACCTAAAGCTAAAAGATAAATATTAAAAAAATGAAAAAGGGCCAGAGGCCCTGACTCAGCGGTAGAGCACTTGCCTAGCACGTGCAAGACCCTGGGTTCGATCCTCAGCACCACATATAAATAAATAAATAAAGGTGTTGTGTCCGACTACAACTAAAAAAAAATAAATATTAAATAAATAAATAAATGATGTAAATCGGCACGAATGGCACTGGGAACAAGGACCGTTCAGGAATGGCTTCTCACTGGAGCGCCCAGAAGAAACCATTCTGCAAAAAAGTCCTTTGTCTCCTAGACTCAGCTTTGACATCAGGATTCCAGAACTCTAGGAGAATAAATCTCTGACGTTTTAAGTTTGTGGAGATTTCTAGAGCCGCGTGGGGAACATCACCTCAGGGATTTTCACTGTTGCCCCAGGAGGGTGCAGTCTGGTCTCACAGGGTCTCCTGGACACACAAGGGCGGGTGTGCTTTAACCATATCCTTGTGGCTTTGAAACTTACATGTTTCCCCCCCACTCTTTTTTCCCCTGGCCTTCTCCTCTCTGATCTTTTCCCTAAATTTCTCTCTGATCTTCTTTTTTTGAAATATTTTTTTAGTTGTTGACAAACCTTTATTTCTTTTTAATGCGGTGTTGAGAATCGAACCCAGTGCCTCGCACATGCTGTGCAAGTGCACTTCCAGGAGCCACAGCCTCAGCTCCCAGATCTTCTTTTCCCAGATCTTCCCCTTCCTGATCGCATTTTCTCTGAATCACCTCTATAAAGCCACCCCCGCTCCGTTCCTGCTGATGGGCAGGAGTCCCCTGAGTTTCTCCTTTGATAGCTTTATAAACTTTCTTTTTTCCTTTTTCTCAAAACCAAGTCCTTGTAATGGGTTAGCACCAGGGACCAGGGACCAGGACTGAGCTCTCAGCAACGAGTTCTCTGGCTGCCTGTTCCTGCTCCAGTGCCGCTCCTCTTGGGAGCTCCTGCTCCACACTGAGGTTCCCATTGTCTCTGGAAGTCCTCAGGCACTGCTTCTCCACACAGAGTTTCCAAAGGAATCCCGCGCCCCTGTCCCTCATCTCTTACCCTGGTGGCTTCTGGGGCACTGTGTGAGGGTCATTTCCTCCAGACTCCTCTTTGCTCCTGCTCCATCAGGAGCTGAGTGGGTGTGGGCCTGTTCTGCTCAGCCTGTCCCTCCCGAGTGCAGCAGCCTCTGTCTCACTGACAGCAGGGAAGAGAGAAGCCCCAGGTACCTGCTGGCCTGGAACCAAAGCTTCATGTATATTTTCGTTATTGTTTTGGCCCCAGGGCTTGAACCTAGGGGGCTTAACCCCTGAGCCACATCCCCAGTCCTTTTTTAAAAAAAATTTTAATATTTATTTTTTAGTTCTCGGCGGACACAACATCTTTGTTGGTATGTGGTGCTGAGGATCGAACCCGGGCCGCACGCATGCCAGGTGAGCGCTACCGCTTGAGCCACATCCCCAGCCCCCCCCCCCAGTCCTTTTTTATTTTTTATTTTTGGAGGCAGGGTGTCACTAAGTTGCTTAGGGCCTTGCAAAGTTGCTGAGGCTGACTTTGAACTCATCATCTTCCTGCTTCAGTCTCCCCATGTTAGAAATAAGGAGGTACCACAAGAAATTAAACACGTGCTGGAAAGTGGGTGGGCAGGGCAACCTTTCCTTCTGCAGAAGGGCTGCTATGGGACCTGGCCAGCAAGCACACCTGGGCAGGCAGTCCCCAGTTTATATCTCCAACCAACCACCAGACTTCCTATTCCTTACTTGGAGCTGCTGGGATTACAGGCTGGGCCACTTCACGCATCAAGCAGACAAAAAGGAAACAATATGAGACAAATAATCATCACAATATAAGAAATGGCAAAAAAATCAAAGCAGCTCCACAGATTGCATAAAAAAAGAAAGTCCATTATCTGATCTGAAGCACAAATCGATTGTCACCCTTGTAGGTGATGAACCTGCCCTGAGAACCTTCTGTCCCCAGGCCCTAGTGTTCAGCTCTGGTGTGGCTCCTTGGTACCTCCTCCCTAGAGGTCCTAGATGGACTCCCTCCCTCAGAGCACCTGCCACTATGTCCATGTGACGGTGCCATGGCCTGCCACCCCTGCAACAAGCCCAGCCCTTTCTGTCTTTGTCTGTAGCCCCCTCCTCTGCTCCTCCAAATTTGCTCTTTGGCTCACCACTCTGTCAGATGCCAGGCAGCTCCTGCCGCACTAAACAGGGGACACCCTTGCCGCACAGCTCCAATGGCTGCCCTCCCTGACTGACACTGCCCAAGGCCAAGCCCAGCTGCCCAGTTCTTTGTCCTGCATGGACACTAGAAGTGTGTGGCCAGAGGCCAAGTGGGTGGGACAAGTAAGTGTGCACAGGTGGGCTAGGCTGGGACAAAGAAGCTTCCAGCTTCCAGAAGGGCACTTCCTGAAGGAACCCAGAGGCCTGGACCAGGTTGGGCATCCCTGGTCATCCAGGCCACAAGGCCAGAAGCCAGAGGTAGGCGGAGCCCCAGGGCAAGTGGATGCACAGCTGGGCCTTGGCCCTGAAGCTCCGGAATGTGGGGGCAGGGCTGCCCACTGACCTCACAATGGTGGGTCTGCTGTCCCCGGCCAGGCTGCTGGCCGCCGGCCACCTCCCACAACGTGCTGCTGGGCATGTCCCTCCTCAGCAGCTATGAGGGCCTGCGGCAGGAGATCCAGCGGTTGGCACAGGAGAACGAGGAGCTGCGGCGGCTTGTGCAGCTCATCCAGGAGAACCAAGAGCTGAAGTTGGTCCTCAGGAACAGGGGCAGTAGCCTGGGCTTCTGCAGCTCAGGGTTCCTGGCAGAGGTGGCTGCCAGTCCCCGGGTGCCCAGGCGCAGAACCATCAAGTTCAAAGATGCTGAGAGAGGTGAGCAGCTGGCAGACCCACAGACTTCACTCCTTCAGCTCCTGCTGGGACTGAAAAGTCCAGCAAAAGACCTGCCCTTTGGAATGTAACACCTGGGTGCAGGTGGCGGGTGGAGGGAAGTGGGCAAGGCCAGGGTGGGAGTGGAATTCCAGTTCTTTCAGGAAGCAAGGAGCAGGTGGCATCCCTGAGAAAGTGACATTGCAGCAGACCTGGAGTGAAGTGAGAGCCAGGCAGCTAGCCAGTTCCAGGCCAAGGAACAGTCTGTACAAAGGTCTCGAGGTAGCAGCCAGCTGGCTGTGAGGCCAGTGTTCTGATGCAGAGGGCAGAGAAGACCAGGAGGACCTTGCAGGCCACAGGAAGCCTGAGGACAGACTGTCCCTGGCCCCGTGTTCTCTGGGCTCCCTAAGTTGACAAAGGGTGGGGGACAGCCCTACACCTGGAGAAAAGTACAGGGCAGGGCTATGCAGATGGCAGGCTCTAGACTCCTATTTTGAAAGTTGAAGTCCAGGACTTCTGGCAATTCGAGAAAGAGGATGCAAGAACAACTTGGAAATTCAGCCCAACTCTGAAAGTAGGGGAGTTGTCCCTGGAATAGGGGGCGGTCCTGGGGCCTTGAGGGGAGGGTCTGGCCATTCAGAAGGGTGGACTCCAGTGGGCAGGGAGTGAATGCTGTCACGCCTGCCACCGTCTTTTGTCCCTGCTGTGGGATGTGGACATTACCAAAGGGAGTAGGTAACTACAGAGCAGAACCACCCAGCACACCAACACTCGGACAGAGATGAAAATGTGGTAAGGCAGGCAGCAAAATACCTCCCAGGGCCAGCAGATGTAGGAGGCTCCCAGGGGGACCAAGCACTGGGCCTTCAGGCCTTTATTGTTGTGCTGTAGAGTGGGGTCAGGTGAAGGCTGGGAGTGAGCAGAAGTGGGAGATGCACACCGTGAGTTGTGGTATCCCAGGAGGAGCAGAGCAGCTGGGGTGCTGCAGGGACAGAGCCCTTAGAGGACGAATTTGTGAGTGACAGGAGTCAGCCCCTGGGGTGAAAACAGAAGAGAGGGTGCAGCTGAGGTGAGACTCATTAGAAAGTGAGAGTTCTTGCAGTGCAGAACCCAGGTAGGCTTGAGTGCAAACATCAGGTAGAGATAGGTGTGGGTGGGGTTTTATTCTCTTGATAGATCCTGGACTGAGTTAGGAGGCAGAGACGGTGTTGGGGGGGCGGTGGAAATGAGAAGGTAGACAGTCCCTAGGGGCTTTTGGGGGTGGGCAGAATGATTGTAATGGGAGGCCACCTCGAGGCTCAGGCTTCCGTGGGGGGTCCTGGACTGAAGTGGGACCACTGATTGCTTCCCACAGCTGTTCTGCATACGAAGGGGTGGGCTCCTACATCCTGATGGTGCTATGATGATCTAGACCCCAGGCTGGGTACAGTGGGCTAGGAGTTTGGCAGTAGCACCGTGGTGGGGGAGGGGATACCTGCCACTTGGTGGGCAGTCATCTGGATGAGGCCAGCAGCCTCCATGGGGATTGGGTCCTAGGCACCTGCTGCAGGGTCCAATCCCTGTCTTTGGGGGAGCTGGTGAGCACCTTGCTTGACCCAAGAAGGGCTGGGGGTAGCCACATTCAGTGAAAGGGGCCCAGGACGAGATAGGTCACATGAGCAGCTCACAGTGTGTGGGGGGGGTGAGGTTAGAGGGCATGAGGTGGAGTCAGATGTCACAGTATTGCTCTACGGCTGTCTTTCTTGTGGCGACCTAGACAAGAGAGTAGATTCAGTTCCTTCTAAACCATGTCTCTTTCTGTCCCAGGTCTTCCCTTTACCCCCTCACACAGATGAGGGCACCGGTCAATGAAGGGTCTATTGCAGCCTGGGGTGCAGCCCAGATCCTGGTGTGCCCATGCACACCCCGAGCACCTCTGTCCTGGCCTCTCAGGCCCAAGCAGGCTTTGGGGGCCAGCAGGGCTCACAGGGGTGCAGGGGCTGGGGTGTGCCTCCAGCTTGCCTGTCATCTGCTTGGCACACTGGGGAGGCCCATGGGTTCAGCTGACCTCTGGGGCCACCATCATAGGGCAGCACCATTCACCTCACTGACGGTTCTGCCTGCCTTGCATGGAGCTCCAGGCTCCTCCACTCCAGCTGTCATGCGCCCTCTGAGGGTGCTTTCTGGTGCTGGTCTGGAGTCTAGGCTCTGCCCTGCTTGCAGATGCCTGCTCCCACCCACCTCCAGCCAGGCCTACACAGTGGAGGCTGCTTTGAATCTGCCTCAACAAGTCTAGGAATGCAGGTGCAGTAGTACAGGCTCCCCACACCAGGCCCTGCGTTCTTGGGGCTTAGACCACACCAGAGTAATAGCAAAGAACCAACGTAGGAAACCAGTGCTGACTTCTTTCTGCCCTCTTCATCTGTGGTTTTCTCTGCCTGGGAGCCTCCTCCACTCTTCTACCATCCCTCCACGGGTTGTGCCAACTGCACCCTGGACATAGGTATCTTTTGCCCATGGGGGACCCACTTAGTCCTCACCATGAAAGCTACCTGGCCAAGGCGTGGGGGATGTCAGCTCAGGTTGAAAGCTGGGTGGGGACAGGGTCTCATCCCAGGAGGGAGTGTCTACTCCAGGTGTACTGGGGTCTCCTGGTCTCCTCTGCGCTGTGGGTCGTGGGGGGTGTGCACACGGGTGAGGGCGTTCCTGGCGGAGTCCCCTTTATCCCTCTCTCCTACTCACTCCCACTTTCACTAGCCCACTCCGGGGCGCCTGCACTAGGACAGTCGGAGCAAATCCGGGTTATTGATTCTCTGGGGCAACCGGTTTCCCTTGCTCCGAGATACCTGGAAGTGGGTGCCGTGGGCGTCCACATGTCGCGAGCCCAAGGCCTGCGTGGGAGTCTGATCAGCAGAGCACAGGTGACCTTGAATCGCAGCGCCGGGTCCGCCCCCGGCCGCAATTGGCCACTCCTCCCTGCAGTCCCAGGAGGCGCTGTGGACAGGACAGGCCTGAAGCCACCGCCAGGGGCGGGCCAGGCCTCGTCGTGGCCGGGCGGGAGGGCGGCTCAGGGACGGTCTCCGCAGGCCCCGCCCCGAGGTGGGGGCAGGGCAGGCGGGGAGCACAACTGGAGAAGATCGCGGGCGACTCGGAGCCGACCAGCCAGGTGGGCTCTTCACGGGGGTCCTAAACCTTCTCGGAGGCCGCCTTCCTTCCTTCCCTATCAGGGCTCCGCTCCACTTCTCATCTTCTGGGCCTTGGCCCGGTCCTGATATTGCACGGGTTGTGCCTGGTCCTGTGGCCCGGAGGCCTTGGGAGGCCAGGCTCCTCTCACCTGTCTACCCCAGCCCCGTTGCGGCTCGTGCCACAAGCCAAGGGCTTCAGAATGCCTTCCGTGCTACCTCCATCTCGGCTCCAGGCCCTGGGTTTCTTCGGCAATCAGGGCATTGAGACCCTGGCAATGGGGGCAGTGGGCTGGCCCCCATGCACTGCCAGGTTAGGGCTCAGCTCAGGCTGCCCTGTGAGCTGGGGCCTGTAGCTCTGACCCTGCCCAGTGTCGTGGGTCATTTCCCCAGGGCTCCATCTGGACTTGGAATCTACTCCCTCTTTCCACTCAGAGCCTCACCCATGCATGACTCCCAGGCCTCGCTGCTGATGGCTACCTCTGTCCAGTTCTCCCAGGGTTACCATCTGAAGAGCAACTGCTGGACTCCAGCCGCACCATCATGGGGAGCCCTGAGGGGCGCTTCCACTTTGCCATTGACCGCGGGGGCACCTTTACAGATGTCTTTGCCCAGTGCCCAGGAGGGCATGTGCGGGTCCTGAAACTGCTCTCTGAGGACCCTGCCAACTATGCAGACGCACCAACGGAGGGCATCCGCCGCATCCTGGAGGAGGTGGGCCCTGGGAGAACAGGTGGGGTGGGGGGGACCCACCGCAAGAAGCCTGACTCTGACCCTGTGGTTCTCAGGAGGGGGGCGTGCAATTGCCCCGGGACCGGCCTCTGGACACCAGTCGTATTGCCAGCATCCGCATGGGTACCACAGTGGCCACCAATGCACTATTAGAACGACGGGGGGAACGGGTGGCCCTGCTGGTGACACGTGGCTTCCGGGACCTGCTGCACATTGGCACCCAGGCCCGCGAGGACCTCTTTGATCTGGTGAGCACCCAGCTGGGTGCTAGGTGGTATAGCTTCCTTGAATCTGTCTCAATAAGTTGCTGTTGCCTTGTGGGGGGTACAGTTGGTGGAAGGATCAGTAGAGGGCCAAGTCCAGCAGCTGATAGGCAGAGAGGGTAGGTAGTTTTGGGTTCTGCCAGAAGGGTCCTCTGCCTCAGAGTAGGGACATAGTGCTCTTTTCCTGATGCTTCTGTGACCTGTCCTGGACCCTGACAGCCCAAGCAAGTCCTGTTCAGGTTGAAGGTTCAGAGCTGCCCTTTGGGGATGGGCCAGTTGACCATATTCCACTCAGACGCCTAAAGGCAGTGAGCCACCCCAAGGTGAGCCTTGCTGGGCCAGGCTGACTCTCTGCCTCTTGGGCCTGTTTGCTGACTTGTTGGGACACATCCCCTTGCCTGCACCGCTTCACCCACACCAGGACCCACAAGAACCCCAGGCCTGGGTCTCCTCTGAGTCTCTGCCAACCCCCAGGCTGTGCCCATGCCAGAGATGCTGTATGAGGAGGTGCTGGAGGTGGAGGAACGCGTGGTGCTTTACCGCGGAGAACCAGGCGCCGGGTCGCCTGTCAAAGGTCCAGTGCCACTCACAGCTGTGGGGCCCCGGGGGAGGGCAGATCCTGGCAGCCTCTGATGGGGGCAATGGGCCTCTGCAGGCCGCACAGGAGACCTGCTGGAGGTGCAGCAGCCTGTGGACCTGGGGTCCCTGCGTGGGAAACTGGAGGGGCTCCTGTCCCGGGGCATCCGCAGCCTGGCGGTGGTTCTCATGCATTCCTACACGTGAGTGAGGGCATGAGCCGTGGGTGGAGGGCTGTGGGCCTCAGTGAGAGGCACAGGGCCTGCGAGGACAGTGTAGAGCCCCTGGGTTCTTGTCGTAGATGGGCCCAACATGAGCAGCAGGTGGGCACACTGGCCCGGGAGCTGGGCTTCAAGCACGTGTCCCTGTCCTCGGAGGCCATGCCCATGGTCCGCATTGTTCCCCGGGGACACACAGCCTGCGCCGATGCCTACCTCACTCCTGCCATCCAGCGCTACGTGCAGGGCTTCCGCCGTGGCTTCCAGGGCCAGCTTAAGGTAAGGCCTCTCCACTGCCTGCTCCTGGCTTCAGCTCTGGGCCTGCCCAGTCCTTGCTGCCCACCTGCCCGCTTCACAGGACGTGCAGGTGCTCTTCATGCGCTCCGATGGTGGCCTGGCGCCCATGGACGCCTTCAGTGGCTCCCGCGCTGTGCTCTCTGGTCCCGCCGGCGGTGTGGTGGGTTACTCAGCCACAACCTATCAGCTAGAGGGTCACCAGCCTATCATTGGCTTTGACATGGGAGGTATGAAGGCTGAAGGGGGCATCTCGGGGAGGCTTAGCTGCCAGGCTGGGCAAATCTTGGCAAGCTGGTCTTTGGGTGACTCCCAGCACCCCATTTCCCACCAGGCACATCCACAGATGTGAGCCGCTATGCTGGGGAATTTGAGCATGTGTTTGAGGCCAGCACAGCTGGTGTCACCCTCCAGGCCCCACAGCTGGACATCAACACAGTGGCAGCTGGTGGGGGCTCCCGCCTCTTCTTCAGGTCAATTCCCACCCTTCCAGCCCAGACCTTCAGCCCTTCTTCCTTTCCCACCTCCAATCCCAGTCCTCCATCTCCCCAGGTCTGGCCTCTTCGTAGTTGGGCCCGAGTCAGCAGGTGCCCACCCAGGCCCCGCCTGCTACCGCAAAGGTAAGTGCCAGTATGTGAGTCTGTGCCCTTCAGACCTTGCCCTCTTCATGCTACCCCAGGCCCGTTCAATCTTTCCGCCTCATCCCTGCTGCCCACTCCTGGTCCCCTGCCTCTAGTCTCCAACCCCTACAACACGCCCACCTCCCAGGGGGCCCCGTGACAGTGACGGATGCTAATCTGGTCCTGGGTCGCCTGCTGCCTGCCTCCTTCCCCTGCATTTTTGGGCCGGGAGAGGACCAGCCACTGTCCCCTGAAGCCTCCCGCAAGGCCCTGGAGGCAGTGGCCACTGAGGTGAACAGCTTCCTGACCAGCGGGTCCTGCCCGGCCTCCCCACTGAGCCTGGAGGAGGTGGCCATGGGATTCGTGCGTGTGGCCAATGAGGCCATGTGCCGGCCCATCCGTGCGCTCACACAGGTATGCCCATCTCTGCCCACTCTGCCTATCTTGCCCTCCAGTCCTGCCCCCTGCCCCTAACTTCTTGATCAGTCAGCCCAGCAGGGATGAGAGGTAGGGGCTAGACAGGTGGGCTAGGAGAAGCCACTGACCCTTCTGGATCCTCAGGCACGAGGTCATGACCCCTCAGCCCATGTGCTGGCCTGCTTCGGGGGAGCTGGTGGGCAGCATGCTTGTGCCATTGCCCGGGCCCTGGGCATGGACACTGTGCATATTCACAGGTGGGTCTGGGTGTGGATGTGCTGGTGGCCCTGTGTCCTGAGTTGGGGGAGCCAGCTTTGGGAGGAGCCCCCTCACCACTTGCCACCCTGTCCCACAGGCACAGTGGGCTGCTGTCAGCTCTGGGGCTGGCTCTGGCAGATGTGGTGCATGAGGCACAGGAGCCTTGCTCCCTGCCTTACACGCCAGAGACCTTCATGCAGCTGGACCAGAGACTGAGCCTCCTGGAGGAGCAGTGTGTGGATGCCCTGCAGGCCCAGGGCTTCCCTAGGTGGGGTCCTGGGTCACTGGGCAGAGGGCTTGTGTTATCCCCACCACCCTGTTGGCGGGTTTACCACCTGGCGACTTCCCAAATGGTCCTGGGCTCCTTTAGGGTCACGGTGAGGGAGGACCCCTGGACTGAGAGTCCCTGAGAAAGCTGGACAGGCACCATCAGGGACACTGGGTGAATGTCCTGGCTGCCTGCTCTAGGTCCCAGATCAGCACGGAGAGCTTCCTGCATCTGCGTTACCAGGGAACTGACTGTGCCCTGATGGTGTCTGCCCACCAGCACCCAGCTACGTCCCGCTCACCCCGTGCTGGTGACTTTGGGGCAGCCTTTGTGGAAAGGTGTGTGAGCCCCTGGTCCTGGGAGCCCAGTGGGTGGCCTATCTCCACCTGCTTTGCCCTAATGACTGTTTGGGGCGGGGGTGGTACAGGTACCTGAGGGAGTTTGGCTTTGTCATCCCTGAGCGGCCTGTGGTGGTGGACGACGTGAGGGTGAGGGGCACTGGCCGCAGTGGTCTTCGGCTGGAGGTCGCCCCCAAAGCCCAGACTGGGCCTCCCCGGGTGGACAAGGTTGGTGGCCTGTGTGCTGGTTTGCCTCTGTCCATGGGCTCTAGGCACAAGTGCAGATGGGGAGGTCACACCCTGTGAGGGCCTCAGGAGCCTGGCTCACCCCATACTCTCTGCAGGTGACCCAGTGCTACTTCGAGGGGGGTTACCAGGAGACCCCTGTGTACCTGCTAGGGGAGCTGGGCTATGGGCACCAGCTCCAGGGGCCCTGCCTCATCATTGACAGCAACAGGTGGGCTGAGACCTGGCCTGGGTGGAACCTTGGAGAGGGGAACTACAGGCCCCTGGTGAGGGTTCTGAGGCCCATGGCTGCAGGGGCCTGAGGACTTGGGGGGTCCCCTAACCAGGGTGTCCCTTGGCCTGAGGCTGTGGGTCCCTGGTTGGGAGAGGTCTCTGGCCTGGCCATTGCAGCCCCTTTATGCCCCCTGCCCCCAGCACCATCCTTGTGGAGCCCGGGTGCCAGGCAGAGGTGACCAAGTCAGGGGACATCCGCATCTCTGTGGGGGCTGAGGCCCCCAGCACAGTGGGCACTAAGCTTGATCCCATCCAGCTGTCTATCTTTTCACATCGCTTCATGAGCATCGCTGGTGAGTGGCTGCCACTGTCCTCCCCACAAGCTTGGTTGACCCTGGTATAGGGCATGGGGGCTCTGTGTACTGGCCAGGGGTAGGTACAAGTGGGGTGGCTCTTGCTACTTGTAGTGGGCTAGCAGGTGGGTGCCAAGGGGAAACATGAGCAAGGGGAAGAGCAGTTTTCCTGTGGGTCAAGGGGTGGTGGGTTTGGCTTTGGCCCTGGGATGGCACCACCTGCTACAGGAGCAGTCCTCAGGCAGGCAAGTGTCTTCTCCTCTTATCAGGATCTGAGGATATCTAGGAACTGAATCCTGAGGCCAACAGCAAGCTCACCTGTGCAGAGTCAGGACAGGGACTTTGTGAGCCTGGGGGTGGGGGTCTGTGCCTGGGCACCAGGTCCCTGCTGTACAGGTCAAGGGGAGGCCCGAGGCTCTTGCTGGGAGCTCCAGGGAATTGAAGAGGAAGGTGATGCCCTTCACACAGACCAAGACACACTGTGGCTGTACTGCCCAGGTGGATGTGCTGCCACCTGGTCTTCCTCAGGGCATGGGAAAAGTTGCTGGGCCCGGGGTTTGGGTTTGAAGGCCTTGACCCCATGGGTCCTCCTTCTCCCTTTCCTGGAGCCATGCTGTGGGTGATAGAACCAGCGGGTACCTGGTCACTCTGTGTCCTCAGAGCAGATGGGCCGCATCCTGCAGCGCACTGCCATCTCCACCAACATCAAGGAACGCCTGGACTTCTCCTGTGCCCTCTTTGGACCTGACGGGGGGCTGGTCTCTAATGCCCCCCACATTCCTGTGCATCTGGGAGCCATGCAGGAGACTGTGCAGTTCCAGGTGCGGTGGGCCCCCTCTCTAGCCTCCCTCGCTGACCCATGTCCCTGCCCCACCCCATTCTGCACCTGTCTCCTGGTTTTAGATCCAGCACTTGGGGTCTGATCTCCACCCGGGTGATGTGCTGCTCAGCAACCACCCCAGCGCAGGGGGCAGCCATCTTCCAGACCTGACTGTAATCACACCGGTGAGGTTCACTGCCAGGCTACCTTTGTGGGGGTCACGGGTGGCTGACACAGCTGACTGTCACTCTTTACCCGCTAGGTATTTTGGCCAGGTCAGACTCGGCCTGTGTTCTACGTGGCCAGCCGAGGGCATCATGCAGACATTGGGGGTATTACACCAGGCTCCATGCCCCCGCACTCCACTGCACTGCAACAGGAGGGGGCCGTCTTTCTGTCCTTCAAGCTGGTCCAGGGAGGCGTCTTTCAGGAGGAGGGTGAGCAGGAGTGGGGCTGCAGTGGGGGTTCAGCAGGATGGGATACCTGGTTGCTGCCAGTGACCCAGCTGGCTGGACCCTGGGATACAGCCCAGCAGCCCAGATCTGCCCTGAGGCTGGGGAGAGGCAAATGGTGACCCGTGGTGCAGATCATCCCCCAGAGATGATTAGAGGTGAGATGAATTCTGTGTGGCCAAAGAAGTACTCCTTGGAGGTGGTTTGGGGATAGGAAGTTGGCCAGGACACTCAAAGAGTAGAGTATAGAAGGAAGAAGGGCCTATTTCAGGTAGGTAGCTGTTGCAGTCCACACTGGGTTTGGGTGAAGGATGTTTGGGAACTCAGGGCTGGTATTGGATGGGATTTGGGTGGAGTGAGAGGTCAAGTTTGGATGAAGGAGGATGGAGGCCTTACACTGAACAGAGACAGGGAAGGTAGGGTCAGCAGAAAAGGTAGCACATGGTCTGAGGTTACAGGGGCATGAGAGTCCAGAGTAGCACCCCAGAACAAGGGTGGGTGAGTTGAGCAGGGTGGAGGGGTAGAGGTAACAGAGCCATGGTCCACTTTGGGTGTCACAGACACATATAGGGTGATGTTGGTCAGGGGTAGCTGGGGTAGGAGGTGTGGATCATGGAGGAACAAGTGTAAGCATATGGTAGGGGATCAGTGCCAGGGAGCCTCAGAGACTGTAACTCAGAAGGGAAGAGGTGTTCCTGAAGTGTGTAGGAGTCTCTGGGTCAATCTGCATCCCTTGCAGGAGTGAGAGGGAACCTTGTCCAGATCTGAGAAACCTGCAGGTGGGGGGATAGCACAGGCAGGAGTCTGATGCTCTTTTGAGGCACTTGGCTGTGGATGTCAGTGGGAGCTGGCAGGGCTAAGGGCATATGGAGGAGGAGGAATGCCACGGAAGTGGCTTTTCTCCTGGGAGACAGAGTAGAAGTGGGCTGGAGAAGGCAGGAGGGATAAGGAGGGAGGAGAGTTTGCTTAGGGACCAATATGCCCTCTAGGCATCTCCAGCTCCAGTGAGGTCACTGGCCAAGCTGCCCTTAGGCGCTGGCTATCAGAAGGATAAAAGGATTGAGGCTGGTGCTTCAGGGAATGGGAGTCAGCAGGAGAGGTGGGGATTCAGTGGAGGGCCAACAGTGCCCAGTAGGGGTGCAGTGGGGCTGGAATAGGGCACCAGGTGGCCGAGGAGATGGGGGCAGCTCAGTGGTGACCTCATTCATTCCATCCAGCGGTGACAGAGGCCTTACGGGCACCAAGCAAGATCTCTGGTTGTAGTGGAACTAGGAATCTGCATGACAATCTGTCGGATCTCCGTGCCCAGGTGGCCGCCAACCAAAAGGGCATACAGTTGGTGGGGGAGCTCATCGGGCAATATGGCTTGGATGTTGTGCAGGCCTACATGGGCCACATTCAGGTGGGTCTAGGGGCAGGGAGGTGGGAGCCCCACTCTGCCTGACCAAGGTAGCAGGGCCACTCTGAAAGTAGCATGGCTGCCATTGGACCCTTCCCTGCCAGGCAAATGCAGAGCTGGCAGTGCGTGACATGCTGCGGGCCTTTGGAACCTCCCGGCAGGCTCGGGGCCTACCCCTTGAGGTGTCTGCGGAGGACCACATGGATGATGGCTCTCCTATACACCTCCGAGTTCAGATCAACCTGAGTCAGGTCAGACCCAGTTGGGAGACAGGGAGGGAGCTTTCTGCGCCACCCCATTGCTGATGCCTTCACTCCTCTCCTTCCTGGGCAGGGCAGTGCTGTATTTGACTTCAGTGGCACTGGGCCGGAGGTGTTTGGCAACCTCAATGCCCCGCGGGCCATAACGCTGTCGGCCCTCATCTACTGCCTGCGCTGTCTTGTGGGCCGTGACATCCCACTCAACCAGGTTCGCAGGGGCGTGGAGTCTGAGGTCGGTCCCTACCAGTGCGAGGTCAGCAGGTGAACCTTAGGCTGGAGGTCACCCTGAGTGTGTGTGGGGTCAAGGTCAGCCCCACATGGACTGAGCCCGGGAGGTGGGCATGTTTCTCCTGGAATCAGAGAGGGACCCAGCCCCATTTGCCCCTGAGAGCTGCTTGCCCATGCACAGGGCTGCCTGGCACCTGTGCGGGTGGTGATTCCTAGAGGCTCCATCCTGGACCCATCCTCAGAGGCAGCGGTGGTGGGCGGCAACGTGCTCACGTCACAGCGTGTGGTGGACGTCATCCTGGCGGCCTTCGGGGCCTGCGCTGCCTCCCAGGTGTGATAGGCAGGGTGGGTGCGGCCCTGGGGGCTTCTGAGAACTCTGGGAGGGCGAGGGCCTGCTGGAAGCGGATCCCTGCCCCAGCCAGGTGCAGTTAAGGCTTGCTCCTGCCAGGGCTGCATGAACAACGTGACCCTGGGCAATGCCCATATGGGGTACTACGAGACGGTAGCGGGCGGCGCAGGTGCGGGCCCCGGCTGGCACGGACGCAGCGGCGTGCACAGCCACATGACCAACACGCGCATCACCGACCCCGAGATACTGGAGAGCCGGTGAGCTACGCGCGCCAGGGGCTAGGCAGCGAGGATGGGGCCGAGCTTGGGTTCAGCTGAGCTCTGAGCCCTTTGTACGCGTAGGTACCCAGTCGTCTTGCGCCGCTTTGAACTGAGGCCGGGCTCAGGGGGCCGAGGCCGATTCCGGGGCGGCGACGGCGTGGTCCGCGAGCTGCTCTTCCGCGAAGAGGCGCTGCTGTCGGTGCTCACAGAACGCCGGGCCTTCCAGCCCTATGGCCTTCAGGGTGGGCGGCTCCCCAACCCCTCTCGACCTGTCTGTTCCCTACTCACTGCTGCATCCGCGCTCCCCCGCCTCTCTTCCACCCGCCGCCAGTCGTGTTTTCCCCTGACTCTCCATCTCCTTCTCTACCTTTCCTCCCTGACCATCCAGCTCCTCTTTCCCTGCAGGGGGTGAGCCTGGCGCCAGGGGCCTAAACCTGCTGATCCGAAAGGATGGCCGCACTGTGAACCTTGGCGGGAAGACGTCGGTGTCAGTGTACCCGGGGGTAAGGGGTGCAGCCGTGCTGTTCGCCACTTCCCTTATTTTCCTCCATCCCATGGAGAATGAACAGAGTAGAGCGGCAGAAATAACCAGATGATAGCGAGTTTAATTTGGTTCCCGAAGGGCGGTGGGCCATATGCCGGGTCTCTGGGGTCCAAACGTTAAGATGATGAATGCCGCCCGGGCTGGGAAGGGTCAAGCCTGCTCTGAACCGGCCTTTCTCCACAGGATGTGTTCTGCCTTCATACCCCTGGAGGTGGTGGCTACGGGAACCCAGAGGACCCTGCCCCATCGAAGGGCTCGCCCCCACAATCCCCTGCCTTCTCAGAGCGGGGTAGTGTCTATGAGTACCGCAGGGCCCAAGAGGCTGTGTGAGGGCCCCCCTAATAAAGACCCCTTACATCGCCCAGTTGTGGGACACGGCTGTCAGGCCAAACTCGTGCTCTGCCTTGTGGTCTGTGTTGCCGGCAGCATCCTTTGTCCTTGTGCCCGTGTCAGGAGAGCGCGGAAACGCGGAGCTGCAGGCCCACGGTCAGGTGGTCTGTGAGCCCCGCCAGGGCTGTACTAAACATAACCTGTTCCACTTCCTGGGGGCAGGAACCAGGTTGAGGGATGGTTCCAGCGCCAGCAAGCCCAGCAGTCCTGAACTCTGGCACTTACTGGAATCAGCACACTCCCAGGCATTTCCCGGTAGGTGATGTAGTCCAGACGACGGCCCAGCCAGGGGTTAGCCCGACGGCCTCCGCGGGGAGGGCCTGCCAGGTAGAGGTGGCGCCCTTTCTCCTGCTCTAGGGCCCTAGGGGAGGGGCGTTGTCACCAAGGCTGGGGCGCTCCTCCAGGCGCGGCCAGCAGTGCTTGGCTCCCAGCGCTCCACTCACCTCCGCAGCATCTCCGGTGAGCTAGCTACTGATTGGTGGAGGGTGGAGGTGCTTAGGATGGTTCCTGTGGGGGGCGGGTGGGGGTGGTTGAATCAGCAGGTTCCTAGCTGATGAATCCCTGGAGGGGCCGCCCCCCCCCCCCAACCCCCTGACGCATACCCAGGGCCCAAGGCTGATCCTGGCGTGTGCTCAGCCGGCAGGGATCCCGGAAACAGCGAAAGAGTTTGTGCCCCTGCTCCCGTGCGTGGTCTGCACAAAAGACCAGCGTTCAGTGGGCGGGGCCGGGCCTTTTGGCCTCGCCTCCCCCAGCTAAGCTCCTCACCTTTTGAGCAGTTGTCAAAATTTAGGTCGCCCAGAAGCACGCTAAAGGCCACAGCCTCACCACTCTGGCGGCTCTCGGCCTCAAACTGCTCTGCCCAGTCCAGTAGCAGCGTCAGCTGTTTGCAGCGCAAGAGCCCATCCTCTACGGAAGGGGTGGAGGGTGGGGGTAGAGGTGTGCGGCCTTCTATTCGGCCCAGGTTGAGGATCTACATCCTAGACACCTGGTTCCCGCTAGACTGGGGTCTCTGCACCCTCCCAGGCACTTCTTGGGAGTTGCCATTACTGGGGCAGTGAACAAAAAACAGTGGGCAGTGGGAAAGAGAGGTGCAAATAAGGGTAGGCCTGCTGCGAAAGAGGGGCCGTAGGAGGGCCTGGCTACCGTCCAACAATCCTTCCCACAGGGCTCACCAGTGGGTGCATGTAAATGCGTGCAATGCAGGAATCCCACTATGCGGTGCCCGTCCAGGATGCCCAGTTGCACCTGCAACACCACCGACAGTACCAGCTTTCATAGCCCATTCGGCCCAACAGCTCACCCCATCCAGGGCCAGGGCACATAGCCTGTGGGAATATACCTGAGCGGATAGTAGACCCTTGGAGACAAAGGCGTCCTCGCGACGCGCATTGGGAAAGCAATGGAAGTTGGCACGCAGAAGCGGGTAGCGGGAAGCCAGCAGGAGCCCGCTGCCTAGCAGTTTTAAGTATGGCCCAGGCTGTAGGCCAAGTGTGCCTACGTCATACAGCACCGGGCCCAGATTCGGAGCCAAGCGGCGCACCAGGCGGCGAGCTGCGCGAATATCGAATACCTCCTGCAGGCACACAAAGTCCAGCCCCGCGGGCATCTGGGCCGTCAGCGTCCCGCCTGGCTCCCCAGGCCTTTGTGGGCTGCATCCGGTAGCTCCATAAAGCGAGGGCCGTAGGCCGTTTAACAGCGTAGCGCCAATGGTCTCTGCGCGTTGTTGGCTGTGCGGCAGATTGCTGAAGCGCGCCAGCCCGTCGGGGAGCAGGCACAGGTTGGCAGTGAGGAAGACAAAGCAGCGCGCAAACTCAGCGCAGGGGCGCCAGGGCGTGGGCGGCACCCAGCACGGAGGAGGGGGCTGGTAGCAGAAGGGGCGGCGACAGGCCTGCAGCGGCAGCCAGAGCAGCAAGCCAGGCAACGCCAGCGGTAGGCCAACTAGCAGGAGCAGCAGCAGCGCCACCCCGCCGCCAGCTGCTGCTCTCAGCCTGCTGGGGCGCGCTGTCGGTGCCCAGCAACCAATCAACTGGTCCAGAGCCCAGTAGGTCGGGAAGAGCAGCACACGGGCCACGCAATGGAGGGTGTGCAGCACAGGATGCGCAAAAGGCGAAGGCCGCAGGATGTCGTCGGTCACCGGGGGCCAGTCGGACTGGGTTTGCATAGCGCTCGGGGCTGTCTGGCTGAGAAGCCGCCCAGAAGACTCATTCGCTCCGAGAGTGCGAGTCGAATTGTCGGCAAATCGGCGCGAGCAGCAGGGGTGTCACGGGTCAAGGCCACGTGGCACAACCTGTTTGAGGGACCGGTTGGGCGTTGTTCCCAGCGAGCCTGGCAGTTCCGACGCAGGCCAAAGCCAGGGTCGAGGAAGTCCCTGGTTTTACCTGCCCGCAACTTCGGTGGTTGTTGGAAAAACAAAACAGAAAGTGAACCGGACCCTCGTCCTGCAGCCCCGCCCCAAGCCTCTCTTGCTCCGCCCAGTCCACCCGAGGCTGCGAGGAGGAATGTGGCTCCGCCCCGCGTAAGAGGGGTGAGGGTTGAACCCGGCTGTTCATCTTCCCCTCCCCCACCTGCCGGGTGCTCTCGCAACCCAAACCGCAGGATCTACCCCGCCCCTGCTGCACCCCGCTCCTGCCCATCTTTCTGCCCCTACGGTGCTAGGGGACTGATCGCTAGCACCCAGCACCAATGGGAGACAGACTCGGACTCAGAGAGGTGTAAACACTGCCCGGCCCAGATCCCCACAGTGTCCCCTCAAAGGGCTGGTGGTGGTCCTGTGATCCTACCCCAAGAAGCTTCCAATATGGGGAGAGAGACGGTTGGTTCCGCCCTGCAAAGCCAGTCCATCTGGGCACGCGAGCCAGGAGGGAGCCAGCTCCCTATTCGCTGAGCCTTCCCTCACTGACCCTGAGTTGATAGGACAGTGTGGCCTGGAGCTCACAGGCTCTGCTTGGCTCCCTTGGATGCCCACTTTTATAATTTGGACTGTGAACCACCACCCACCCTGCCCTCGGCTGTGTACAGTGACTCTTAAAAACTGTCCTGCAGGTTTGGATTAGGGCTGCTATTCATCCAGGTAGGCAGGGAGGTGAAGGAGCTTCTGGGCCTCATCTAGCCAGGATGGTTCCAAATGTTGCTCTCTGGATGGACTTCTTTCATCCCCTTCCAAGAGGCTGAGCAAGAGACTGAGCTGTCTGGTTGGAACCCTGAAAGTCTCAGGAGGACTAGGAGCCAGGAGGGCAGAAGGCCATAGCTCCTGTGGCCTGGGCATCCCAGCAGGAGAGCCTCAGCACACCTGGCACCCTCTCTGTCCCTGGGTTCCTCCTGGTTGCTGGCAGGATCCCTGTTTAAACCCAACCCCTGTGGCTTCTTCTTTCCTTTTGACTCACTGATTGGCAAACACCAATGTTCTAGGACCCTCCTCACTTGGGGGCCTTATTTCTGCCTTCCCATCTCAGCTCTGGCCTCTACAGCTTCCCTTAGGTACTCTGAGCTTGCCCACACTGCCCCTCTTTCTCATGCCTCTTTTTTTAAAAAACATTTATTTTTTAGTTGTAGTTGGACACAATACCCTTATTTTATTCATATATTTTTACGTGGCGCCGAGGATCAAACCCAGGGTCTCGCACATGCAAGGCGAGTGCTCTACCGCTGAGCCACAACCCCAGCCCTCCCATGCCTCTTTCAACCTGTCCAGGCCTGCACCCCCAGCTCACACCCTTCCCATCTCACTCCACAGGCTACCTCAAACATTCCATCTGACCCCCATCCATCCTTTCTCCTCACCTCTCCTGCTTCCCCATCCAACCTCAGCCCCTGAAGCTGGTCGTTCAGCCCTCCCTACTTCTGAATTCCCCACCCCAGATCCATGGACCCTGTGAAGGGGGTCTTTTCTTTCCAGACCTTAGGCATTTTGGGGAGGGGCTGCTTTCTCCCTGACTGCTCTCTGTCCAGGTTTGGGTGAGTGAGGCAGTTTTCTCCCCTCCCCTCCTGCTCTTCTCTCCTCTCCTCCCCTCCCCTCCTCCCTCCTGGGCTCTTCTCCCCTCCCCTCCCCTCTTTTTTCCCCTCTCTTCTTACAAGCTCTCTCCCCCTTTTGCAGTACCAGACATTGAACCCCTGAACCCAGGGGCACTCTACCACTGAACTACACCCTCAGCCTTTTTAATTTTGAGACAGGGTCTTGCTAAGCTGCCATTGGATTTGCCATCTTCCTGCCTCAGCCTCCCAAGATGGAGCCAGCTTTCTTCCGGCTGCTGTCAGGAGCAGCTCTGGAAATACATGCCCTTAAGTCTTGAGCAAGAGACACTGAACAACTATTGTGCCCTGCAATAACTTGGGCTTTACCTCCACTCCAGTTAATGAGGCATGACTCCAGGAGTAGGGTTATCCACTGGGGTCAAGTTACACTCACCTGTTCCTTTGTAATCCTACCCCTTGCCCTTTTGGATAGAATGTTCTACAAAACAGCATCCCCCAATAAAAGCCAACCCCAGAATGTGCTCACTCTCATCAGCCTCTCTTGCTCCTCTTGTGGGAGCCTGAGATGGGGAGCCAGGGAAGCCGTCCTGAAGCTTATAAAAAGGTATTCTGTGTCTGCATGGTATTTTGTGTCACACTAAATTCACATGAGTGACTTTGGTTCAGTTGCCTGCCTGGCCAGGGGCAGCAGGTTAGCCTCCCTCTACTGTCCTCCTGCCCTCAAGTTCCTTCCTTCCTGGCCCCTAGTCCCTGCTCAGCATGGAGGGAGGACTCCCTGCCTGCTTGCTTCCATCTCCTTCACGATTCTTGCTCTTCTTGTTCCAAGTCTCAGAGGGCCTGCTGCTTGCTCCCATCACCAAGTAAAGGGAACCTGGGGGACTTCCAACCAACCCCCTTAGCCAGATGGCTGCTCAGCCTTGATCTGGGAGCTCCTTCCAAGGGCCCCTGGGTTAAGTGTGGGTGCCAGGGTGGCAAGATTTAAGGAGCAAGGTGCAGGGGTGTGGGGAGCCCCCCAGCTAACATCATAGGAGTGCAGCATGGGAACATTGACTAGCCTAGTATTTGTGGGAAGCTTTAATGGCCGTGTACAGGGGTGTGGGGCAGAGTGAGCCTGGCCAGCCGGGCACCAGCGTCACCAGATGAACATTGGCTTGCCATCATCGTGTGCCAGCTGATTGAGGCACGAGAGCAACAGCAGCGCGTCAGTGAGCATGCTGGGGTGCACTGTCTCCACCAGCACGCGCTGCAGGAAGTCCACAGTGTAGGAGCCGCCCTCTGATGCGGCCAGCTCAGGCCTCTCACGCAGGATGCCATACGCGTTCACCAGCTGCTCTGTCAGCGCAGGATGTACCCGCCCATTGTAGCCCAGACTCTGCAGCCTGTTCATGATGCTCACGTAGCGCTGAGTGAGTGTCTGGCACAGCTCCTCGTCCAGCTTGTGGTCACTGGGGTTCAGGGATGCCTGTGGGGAGAGTGGTCTTCAGGAGCCCTCCTTCCCACTTCAGCGCACAGGCAAGGGGAAGAGAGGAGTAAGGGTGTGTGGGGGGTATGGCTGTCCACCACCCAGGGGGTGTGCAGGGAGGAGGTCCTGGGAGACAGGCTGGAGGGATCTGGTGGGTAGAGGAGCCCAGGGACTGAGCCTGACAGAGAAGCCCCCAAGCTCTATCCAGGCAGGGCCAGTGGCTCCGCCAAGTTCCTGGGATACCCTGTGGCCTGCTCCGTTCACCACCAGGAATTTGGGCTTGGGCTGAGGACAGGGACCATGGCTGAAAGGCTGGAGGCACTGGGGAAAATGAGAGGCTCTTCAAACCCCCACAGTTGCCTGACTGCAAGTCTTGAGGCCTCTCCCAGGACCCCTCGGGGCTCCCTCCCTGCTCCTTCTCAGTCTCCTCTGGAGGCCTCTGCTTCCCAGCCTGGACTCTGTCCTCAGGACATCCTGTCTCACACCCCTTGTGACACTGAAGGAAGGATGCCAGCCAAGCACTCTGGACCCCAGCACTGAGGGTCTGCCACCTGGACCTGGACACAGGAGAGTCCCTGGGTCTTCCCACCCAGCCAGGCAGTGACTGCTGCTGGCCAGGATGCCCCTGATGGCTTGGTGCTTCTGTTGTACTTGTTGTTCTGTCGTCCTGGGCTTTCCTGACTGGAAGCTGAGGCTCTTCCAGACTTATTAGTTGTTGATGGACCTCTATTATTTATATAAAGGGCCTCACACATGCCAGGAAGTGCACTACCACTGAGCCCCAGCCCCAGTCCCTGGTTGTTAAATATTTTGAAGATCTCCCTGATTAGAAGGAACTTCATTCCCCTAAATGTATTTATTTTAAAACAAAGGAGATAAATAAAAGAAATGAAAATAAAACAAAATGATGTAGGTACTCAACACAAGCAAGATAAATATCAAAACAAAACTAAAGGAAGTCCAAGGAAGGAAATAAAAAATAGCAGAAATTGGTGGCTGGAGTTGTGGAGTGCTCGTCTAGCATGTGTGGGCCCTGGGTTCCATCCTCAGCACTGCATATAAATAAATAAAGACATTGTGTCCACCTCTACCTAAAAAATAAATATTAAAAAAATAGCAGAAATTAGGAAACAGAAGCCAAAGGATCAATAGGATCAGCAAAACAAAATTGGTCAAAGTAGACTCACTTCACTGAAGAGCCAGAGCAGAAGTCCCTCTGCTTTTAGGTGAGGAACTCCCAGCCAAGGCCACAGGCCCCCATTCTGCAGTGGCCTGCACATCACTAAATTCCAGCCAATGAGATGAAACTGGTTGTGAACCCCACCTCCTGGTGGCTGACTTGGCCCCTGGACCTGAGAGTTATCTTACTAAAAAATAGGATCCTTAAGATTTAAGGTTTGGGGCTGGGGCTGGGGCTCAGCAGTAGCGCACTTGCCTTGCATGTGTGAGGCACTAGGTTCGATTCTCAGCACCATGTATAAATAAATAAAATAAAGATCTATCAACAACTGAGGGAAAATATTTAAAAAAAAAAAAAGATTTAAGGTTAAAGCCAGGCGCTGTGGTGCACACCTTTAATCCAAGTGGCTCAGGAGGCTAAGGCAGGAGGATTACCAAGTTCGAGGCCAGGCTCAGCAAAAGTGAGGTGCTAAGCATCTCAGCAAGACCCTGTCTCTAAATAAATTACAAAATAGGGCTGGCTGGGGTGTGGCTCAATGGTCAGTCCCCTGAGTTCAATCCCTGGTACTCCCCTCCCATCAAAAAAGATATAAGATTAAGGGGGCAAAATCTCTCAGCAGGGAATGAGACAGCCAGCCTAGCTCCAAATCTTAAAAGATGCACCCCCAAATTAGGACTTCAATAGTGGGCCAGTCTTCAAGGCCAAGGGAGTAAGACCACACTCAGGAGGTGGCAGGTTGGAAGTCAGTGCAGCCTCCTGAGACTCTGTGGTCCACAGAGACACAGAGAAGACACTGTCAGAAGACCCAACAATATTCTGCCCTGTTTTCAAAATAATCCTAGTGATTTTCCCAGATGATCAGGAGCAAATTCCAGTGGGGGAGAGCAAGCACATGTACAGAATGGTCAACAAGTGACTTGCAGTTACCTTTATTAGCATAAAGGTAAAAAGCACACCCCAGGGTGGAGGCTTCAGCTGGTAAGGCATGGCATTGAGGAGGCAGGAGGAGGAGAGCCAGGCCAGCTGTCACCCACCTCTGCCTAGGGTGACATCAAGAGGCTGGTCCCACCTACCCAGATGCCTTAAGAGCTGAGCACTGGGGTTTCGTCCCCCACGTGACACCCCCCTGGTGCCCCAGTAGCAGAGTGGAGAGCTTTGTTCACATCCCAGCTGGCCTTTTCTCTGATACAAGAACCCACCCAACAGGTGACAGACTGAGTCCTGCAGCATGTCGTTTAGGACTGGGAGTGCCCTGGAGAGCCCAGAGGAAGGAGTGAGGCCGAGGACTGTGGGCAGACAAGTGCTGGCTTACTGCTGCCCTGCGTTGGTCACCGCCATTTGGCGTGGTCCCTGACCCACAAGTAGAACTGCAGAGGACTTAACCGCACCCCAGTGCATTAAACATCAGGAATGTGCAGTCTATCGTGCAGAAAGCTTTTCATGTCTCGGAACATTAAGAGGAAAAGGAGCGACATCTCAATGTGAGACAGAAAAAACATCCTAGAAAAGTCAGAATTTGTTCATGAAAAAACCACAGCGTGGTTCTGTGAGAGACGGCAGGAAAGCTCTGAGCCTGAGGTGGCAGACACTGGTGTTGCTCACCAGCTGTTCTGCACTGTCTGTGCCTTCCTGAAGGGAGCTGGGCTCTTCCAGACTTGAGTCTGGCGGCTGGGCTTCTGCCAGGCAGGTGGAGGTGGAGAGTGCCGGGGAGCGGTCTTGGGGGAGCACGTGGACATGGCACTGGCTCTTCAGGGACAGCTGTGCTTGACTAGGGGCTTCTTGCTGGGTGTTTGCACACTGTCCTGGGCAGTGGGGCTCATAGTGTGTCCACTAGGAAAGTCTTCTGGTGTGTCAGCGTTTGTCCGGGCAGTGTAGCACACAAGCACAAGTTTGTGTCCTTGAAGTTTTGCTTTTTTTTGTGGGGGAAAGGTACCAGGGATTGAACTCAGGGACCCTCAACCACTGAGCCCCATTCTCCAGCCCTATTTGTATTTTATTTAGAGAGTTGCTTAGCACCTTGCTTTGAACTCGCCATCCTCCTGCCTCAGCCTCCCGAGCCGATAGGATTACAGGTGTGTGCCACCACGCCCGGTTTCCTTGAAGCTTTTCTGACCACCCAGACATTCACTAAAACCCTTCTTTACTTACCTCAGCTCGTGTGGGTTCAGCCACCAAGACCACTGATTTGCCTGAGAAGACCTGCTGAATAGTCTAGCACAAACTCAGCCTTAGTGGGGAGACTGGCGTTCCTTGTCAGTGTAAATATTTGCCTCTATGATCTGCTGCTTTCAAATACTCTGTCCAGCAACCTGGACAATAGAAGCTAGTGTGAAACACAAGATTTAGTGGGCTGGGGCTGGGGCTCGGTGGTGGAGCACTCGCCTAGCACATGTGAGGCACCGGGTTCAATCCTCAGCACCACATAAAAGTGAACAAATAAAGTAAACATATTGTTTCCATCTACAACTAAAAAAAAAAAGCTTTAGGTTTGGGGGTATAGGCCTGTGGTACACAGCTTGCTTAGCATAGACAAGGCTGGGGGTTTCTATCCCTCTGCCAGAGACAGATTGAGCAGATATGTTTAACCTGATTAAACAATGTATACATGAGGAGACACATTATATGGCATGCCAATAATATGTACAATTTTTATGTTTTTTTTTTTTTGTTAAAATAAATTTAGCTGGGCATGGTGATGCACACCTGTAATCCCAGAGGCTTGGGAGACTGAGACAGGAGGAGGATCACTAGTTCAAAGCCGGCCTCAGAAACTTAGAGCCCTAAGCAATTCAGTGAGACTCTGTCTTAAAATAAAAAATTTAAATGGCTGGGGATGTGGCTCAGTGGTTAAGCACCCCTGGGTTCAATCTCTGGTACCAAAATAATAATAATACAGAGATATGAAAAATTGTGGTATATATGTGTGTATTAAGAATTATAATGCAAAAAAGTACATGTATAATGGCATAAATTGATGTGAACATACTTTATAAACAGAGATACAAAAAATTGTGCTCTGTATGTGTAATAAGGATTGTAATGCATTCCACTGTTGTCATGTATTTAAAAAGAATAATAAAATCAATTAAAAAAAAAAAAACAAAAAAATGGGCTGGGGATATGGCTCAAGCGGTAGTGCACTCGCCTGGCATGGGTGTGGCCCGGGTTCCATCCTCAGCACCACATACAAACAAAGATGTTGTGTCCACCAATAACTAAAAAATAAATATTAAAATTCTCTCTCTCTCTTTAAAATAATAATAATAATAATAAATAATATAAACTTAATTAAAAAGAAAGGAATAGAAGAATTACAACTGTCTGCTAAATAAAGGGCTGGGGAAAGTGGAATTAGATGCAGATAGGAATCAACAAATCACCCAGCCTGAGACCAGGGGGCAAATAACTGGTTCTCAGGTGTGACGTCAGTCAGCCCACATGAACCCTGCAAAGGGCCAGCCTGGGCGTCCCCCAGGTTTGCAAAGCCACTTCTCTGCAGGGGAGCACTGGGAGAGCTGCTTCCCAGGAGGAATGAGGGTCTCTGCTGACAGGAGAATGGCCAGTGGCTCTGGAATTGGTGATGGAGCTCTTGGGCTGAGTGACTTGTGTCTTGGTGATGGTGAGATGCCCAGAGGCTGTCAGTGGGGCTCCGTGGGTACCATGCTGGCTTTGACTTCCCTGGGCACCAGAGAAGTATTGCCTGATGCACATTAGCTCTTTCCTAATGATTTGTGCCTTAGAGCTGTGATTGTTAGATTCTACCACCTGAGCAATAACTTCCCTGTCAAGGGCAGAGAAACACCATAAAGGGGGACACACACAGACCACCCCCACATCAAAGACCCATGCATTTTATCATCTTCCTTTTAAGCAGCAAACAATAGGAATCCTTTTTTCATGGTTTACTATCCAATTTCTCCATGGACAACTAGACTTCTGCTTATAATCAAATGTAGTCCTTGCCAATTAGACACCAGACGCCAGCGTTTAGAGACGCCAAGCATTGTGCTTCCACCAGGTTCTGAATCGCCCTAGCCAATCTGCACTGTGACACAGCAGCACTGCTCTGGGACACCGTAGAGGGCTGTCAACTAGAGACTCCACCAAAGTGCCACTGACTCCAGCAACAAGGTGCTGAGGGGTAGCCAGCACTGTCAAGATGTGTGATCTAAGCCAGGCGCGACAGCAGAGCCTGAGGTCCCATCTGCTCCAGGGGCTGATTTTAAGTAAAGCCGGCCTGGGCAACTTAGCAAGAGTGTCTCAAAATAAAAAAAATAAATAAAAATAAATAAAAGGACTGGGGGTATAACTGTATGGAAAGCACCCTGGGTTCAATCCCCAGTACCGAAGGGAGTGGGCGAGGGGGAGGGAGGGATGGGGGGGAGGGAGAGAGAGAGAAAGGGAAGGAGAGAAATGTATGTGTAATCTATCAATCAATGTAGTTTAATCCATATATCAATGCAAAACTACTCAGAATTTGAACCAGGTTTTTCCTAAAACTTGATGTTTTCACTATGAAAGCTCACACTGAATAGGAAGAGCTAAGATGATTGAGAAAAAATCAAGGTGGGCCTGCTTGGAGCAGTGCCCAGCTCCAGTACCTGTCATGAGGGCAGCATGGGCTGCGTGGGGCAGACTGGAGGGCCCACACAGGTGCAGGCCTGGAAGAGGGAAGGAGGTAGGTGCTGGGTACCCCCTTGGCCTGGCAGTGCTGGGCTTCTACAGCTCTGAGCCTGGAGACCTGGCCAGTTGCCCTCACCAGCAGAATACTGTGGGGTCCCAGTGGATTGGCTATGCCCCTATCATTCTGTCCACACAGCCCTGTTTGTCTTCTGATCACAGTACCCCTGTCCTTCTGCGTGGCTGTTCCTCAGGCCTCAGGGCTGTCCTCTACACCTACTAGCTGAGGCTCTCACTATGGCTATTCACTACCTTGGGGTCATTTCAGTCTGGTGGTTCCTCTGTGTGAGGCTGGCCTCTGGGGAAGACCAGGGGTTGCAGGCTGGGGAGAAGTACCACCCATTTTAACCCACACCACTATGGTCAGTTACAGGGCAGTCAAAGACCTAAGTGAAGAAAAAAACCTTCAAATCCTTAGGAGAAAATTCAGGTGATGAGAGTACAGAAAATATGGAATGCTTTTAGGACCTTCTGATGGGAAGATTTCTTAAATGAGACATGAAGAATACAAACATTAAGGGCAAAAGCTGAAAATTCTGGTCATATTAACATTAACTACTTAACCAAAGGACACTTTAACCTATGGAAAAGGAAAACTCAGACCTATATACCCAAAATCCAGCCAAAGTCCCAAATGCAACCCAAAGTGAATTCTTCCCAAACGACCCACAAAGGCTCCCGTTTGTCAAACATCGTCCTCCACACTGACACGGAAGGAGGTAAGTGGATGCATCCTGGGAAAATACACCGGAATTAGCCTTGGGCCTCGGAACAAGTTCGCCAGCTGCTGCATGGCTCTGGGGCCTGTTTCCTGTGGTCCCCAGTGATCCTTGAGGACACCCACAGGACTGGGGAGGAAGCTGGCTGTGCCATTCTGGGGAGGTCACAGTACTCCTCAAGCCTCTGGGGATTAGGGCTGCCCATGCAGAGGAGAGAAGAGTCACCTGCCTGTCCTTGAACCCTCCCTGCTCAGCCCTTCTTTGGGGAGGCTTTTAGGGCTGGACTCAGGGCTCTTACTGCCAGATGCCCTGGACACCTGCTGGCCACTTGGATTGAGCACTGGCTTCTTCCATCCCAGGTTCTCCTTGGATTCTAACATGTTAGCTTCACTTGAGGGCAGTGTCCCCAGTGTGTCTCCTCCTGGGCCAGCACACTGCCCAGTCCCTTCAGCCCCCTGGGAGTGTGTGGGAGACGGACAGCCACACACCTGGATGATCTTCTCTGGAATGTTGGAGACAGTGAAGCCGTAGAGGCGGACACGCTCCGGGAAGATGCTGGACAGGATCCTGCGGTCCAGCTGGAAGGCGATCTCTCCCACCAGCCTCTCCCAGGCCAGCTGCTTCGACTCTGGGGATGACAGGGGACGTGGCTGAGCCATGGATGGATGGAGTGGGGCTGTGGTCAACAGCCCAGGTGGGTGGCAGGGGAGATGGCTTAGGAGCCCCCAGACTCACAGTGAGCCCCTGGTGGCCGCACTGACCTCGGGTACTATCGGGGAACTTGCTCGTCTTGCGGTGGGCCATCTTCCGCTCCAACTCCAGGAGGCCTTTCCGAGATGGTTCCGTGGTACGTGAATACCCCCGGGTGTCATTCACCGAAGCCGGGGAGGATGAGGTACGTGGTGAGGATTGGGGGTTGCGTGGAGGAGAATGGGGGACAGGCAAGGGCCGGCTGGGAGAGGGCTGCACTCGGGGAGGGGTGGGGATGGTGCCTGAGGGGGTGCAGTTGTTGGCAGCTTGGGGGGTGGGGGCAGGGACTGTGCCAGCAGGAGAGGCAGTTGGGGAGGTAGGGATAGAGGCAGGGACCATCTGTCCCTGGGGGACACCGGGCTGGATTCGGGCATCCGCGGTGCCATACAAGGCTGTTGTGGGACCAGGCATGGCCATGATGCCCACCGGGGTGGAGGTCTGGAGGGGTGCACCCACAAATGTCACGCTGAGGGGTTCTGGTTCCTGGATTGGCTGGGGGTGTTCACTGGCTGTGACTGGTTGGGGAGGCAGAAATGAGAGGAGGGGGTTAGAGTGAGGCCCGGTGGGTGCAGGATCTGGCCTCCCTAGGGCACCCCTGCCCCTGCCTGGCACCCCATTACCTTTGGAGTTGATGGTGGACCCTGCACCAGCTGAGGAAAGGGGCCCAGAGTGACCTCCTTGGAGCGTGTCTGCCAGCCGTACCCCTGGGGCCTCTGGCCCAATCAGGCCGCCCGTGGGGCTGGCCAGAAGGCTCTGAGAGACACTTAGGGGGGCTGCGGAGGTGAGCAGGGGGCTGCTCAGAGGGACGGCTACTGGGCCTGCCATGGGGGCCATCAGGGGACTGCTCTGAGACACAGCCATGGGGCCTGCCAGGGTGCTGGCCAAGGGGCTGCCTGGACTCAGGGAGCCGGTGGAGGTTAGGCCCAGGGAGTTGGTCAGGGTGGCCCCAGGGGTCACTGTGATGGGGCTGGCCAGGTGGCTGCTCAGGGGGCCAGTAGAGGGCAGGCTGGTCAGGGTGCCCCCTGGGGTCATTGCTAAGGGGCTGGCCAGGTGGCTGCTCAGGGGGCCGGTCAGGAGGCTGGTGAGTGGGCTGCTCTGTGACACAGGCACCGGGTTGGACAGCAGCGTGTTGAGAGGGCCCATCATGGGGCTCACAAAGGAGCCCACTGCAGGGCTGGGTTGTGGGCTGCTCAGCATGTCTGCCAGGGCCACAACCCCCACTTCTTCCAGGACTTGTTCGTTTGCTGCTGCAGCTGGGGACGGGGGCAGGAAGACACCTGGGGGGACACAGAGAGAGCACTGAGACCCCAGGCAAGTCCTGCCAGGAGCCACGGAGGCAGTCATGGGCTCTCCTACCCTTCTGGGGCCTGCCAAAGTGCTTGTCGGACTCTGGTGACTTGACCTCCCTGAGCCTCGCTGCTCTGGGTGGTTGGAGCCATGTACCCCTGCCCCTGAGGGGACTCCAGGGCAGCTGCCATGGAGGATCTGTGAGCGGGTCTTCCCTGCCTTCTCAGTCCCTAGCATCTTGTGTCCAGCCCTGGTTCTCTAGTGAGTCCTCCCAGACTGACTGTTCTGCCCGTCCCGCTCCAGGTCATAGGGACGGTTCACAGCCCTCCCCCTCAGTTGTTCTCACTGTACTCAGCCACTGACCTCTCACCCAAGAAAGAAGGGTTTCCCAGTGGCGGGACTCTCAGGTGGCCACGGTGGCCCTTCTGGTCTATGAAGGGGAGGAGTGAGCTGGGCCTCCGGTAGGACCCCCTAGGGGGTCAGTATTGCAACAGGCAGAGCCTCACCTAGCCCAGGGCCACGCACAGACGACCTGTGTACCCTAAGAGGCCCAGACTCATTTCTTTACACCCCTGGACCCTCCTGTGGGAGCCTAGGAGCCCGTTCTCCGTGAGTTCTGGGGGAGAGTCCCTGAGGAGGTGCAGAGCTAAGGAGGTAGAGTGCAGCAAGGTTTTGATAATATGCAATTTCAGTGAAAACTTCCACTTTGCTGCTATTGTCATAAAAATAGGACACACTTACTATAGGGAAAGACTGGAAATACAGACAAGTGAGAAATAGGAAAACTCTCTGACAGCCCGATCATTCCATGGTTAGTCCCTAATCAAGAGCTTCCCATTACCTAGCAGACTTTTTCGACATGTTTACAGAAACCAGGGGTTGGAGAACGTTTTCTGTAAAGGGTCAATTGGTAAATATTTCTCACTTGGCTGGCCACATGGTCTCTGTTGCAAGTCTGCTGTTCTTTTGCGTTCTGCAAAAGCAGCCAAAGAAAACCAGTCATTTGGAAGTAAATGACTAAGGATATGTGGCAATAAGACTTTATTTATGTACCCTAATTTTTGAATTTCATGTACTTTTCATGTGTTATGAAACAGTATTCTTGTTTTGATTTTTTTCAACCCTTTGAAAATGTAAAACCTGTTCTTAATTCACAGGCTCTGTACAAACTGGAGGTAGTTGTCCTCTGGGAAAATGACCCAGGTAGGTCACTGGGCCAAAAGGGTGAGGGAGATGGGACAGACCTTGGCCAACTTCCACAGAGGAAATGGCTCAACCTGAGTTTTGGTCCAAGTTGAATTCCAGATAAAATCAATAAGCACTATAAAGAAGGTGACTGTATGACCACCAAGGGTGCAAGTCACAGAAAGTACGCACCACAGCATACAGCACAAGAACCACGGGGACCCGGGGCAAGGGGTAGCTGACCCAGGTCCAGAAGGACCAGTGGCACAGGGAATGGATTATGTAATTAACAGAGCTGGTCTATATACACCAGAGAGATTCAACAGCAGGTGTGCATCTCTTTTTTGGTTGTTGATAGACCTTTATTTTTTATTTATTTATGTGCAATGCTGAGAATCAAACCCAGTGACTCATACATGCCAGGCAAGTGCACTACCGCTGAGCCACAGACTCAGCCCCCCAGTCCTTTTTAAAAAATGTTTTATTTAGAGAAAGGGTCTTGCTGAGCTGCTTAGGGCCTTGCTAAATTGTTGAGGCTGGCTTTGAACTCGTGATCCTCCTACATTAGCCTCCTGAGCCGCTGGGATTACGGATGTGTACCTCCATATCTGACTCTTATTAGGAATTTTTTTAAAAATGCATTGAAATCTCTAATCAACAGGCAAAGACTGGCAGAATGAATTTTTGAAAAAAGACCCAATACATCGAGACTCATTTTATATTAAAAGTCACAAATAGATTTAAGATGAAAGAATGGAAAAAAGATATTCCATGCAAATCCTTACCAAAATAGAGCTGGTAACTATACTAATGTTAGATAAAATATATTTTAAATAAAAATTGTTATAAAAGGCAAAGAAGGACATCATTGATTCAACCCCCAGTAGAAAGTAGAAGGAAGAGGAGGAAGGGGAGAGGAGGAGGAGGAGGAGGAAGAGGAGAGGAAGAAAAAATTGAAGGGGAAAATAGACAATTTTCACATTAAGACTTGTAGAGTTTAATACTCACTTTCAGTAATGGGAACAGAAAAGAGAAGAAAAACAGACCTAACAGACATGGGGCATTCCACCCAACCACGGCAGAAGACACATTCTTCTCCAGTGCACATCGAACATTCTCCAGGGTAGGCCACATATGAGGGGAAAAAAAGTCTCAGTAAATTTAAAAAGATTGAAATAAAAGTACTGTCTCTGGACATAATGGAATGAAATAAAAAATGAAAACAGAAAGAAACCTGGAAAATTCACTAATTTGTGGAAACACGCTGAAATAACCAATGAGATGGGGCTGGGGTTGTGGCTCAGGGGTAATGTTTGCTATTACATGTGAGGCCCTGGGTTCGATTCTCAGCACCACATATAAATAAATAAAATAAAGGTCCACCGACAACTAAAAAAAAATGTTAAAAGAAAAAAAGTAAAAATAATGAGATTAAAGAATCAACAGAAATTTTAAAAATATTTTGAGATAAATGAAACTGAAAGCATGACGTATCAAAATTTATGGAGCCAGGTGCCATGGTACAAGCCTGTGATCCCAGCAATTTGGGAGGCTGAGGCAGGAGGATTTCAAGTTCAGGGCTAGTCTGGGCATTTTAGCAAAATGCTGACTCAAAATTTAAAAAAATAAATAAATAAAAAGGACTGAGGATATGACTCAGTGGTAAAGTACCTCTGGGTTCAATCTCCAGTACCAAAACCAAAAAACAAACCCCCAAAATGTATGGGAGATAGCAAGGGCAGTACTTAACAGTGAATTGTATAGCTATAAATGCCTATTTTTTAAAAAAAATCTCAAGTCAATAATGTAACTGTAAACAGGGCAAGGTGGTACACACCTATAATCCCAGTGGCTGAGGAGCCTGAGACAGGAGGATCACAAGTTCAAAGCCAGCTTCAGCAAGATCAAGGTGCTAAGCAACTCAGTGAGAACCTGTCTTTAAATAAAATACAAAATAGAAATAGGGCTGGGGATGTGGCTCAGTGGTTGAGTGCTCCTGAGTTCAATCTCTGGTACCAAAACAACACCACCACCACCAACAATATCCTAACTGTACACTTTAGACAAAAAGGACTGAAAGCAAGACCAACAAGAGAAACAAACAAATCGGATTATGTTTTAAAAGACATCATCAAGAAAGTGAAAAGACAATTCATAACCCACAAAGTGGGAAGAAAATATTTGCAAGATATATATTTGATAAAAGACTGTAACTAGCATATACGAAGAACTCCCACAACTCATCAATAAAAGGACAAACAGTCCAGGGCTGGGGTTGTGGCTCAGTGTAGAACATTCACCTAGCATGTACAAGGCCCTTGGTTCCATCCTCAGCACCACATAAAAATAAATGAATAAAGGTATTGTGCCCACCTACAACTAAAAAATCAATATAAAAAAAGCCAAATAGTCAAATTTATCTGAATAGGCATTTTTTTTTCAAAGACATACAGATGACCAATAAGCCTATGATCAGGGTCAGCATTATTAGCAAGGAAATGAAAATCAAAACCACAGTGCAATACCATTTCACACCCACTAGGAGGGCTAAAATTAAAAATAATCACATGATTACAAGTATTGGCAAAGATTTGGAGAGATGAGAATCCAGATACATTGCTGGAGGGACTATAAAATGATGCAGTCATTGGAAAACAATCTGGCAGTTTCTCCGAGGAGAGTTAAACATAAAGTTACCACATGACCCAGCAATTGTAGTCCTTGATACATAAGAGAAAGGAAACATGACTGCACAAAAACTCACACATGCACGTTCATAGAAACATTAATCTCAATAGCTTAGAGGAGGAAGCCACCCAAAGTCCATAAACTGATGAATGGACTCACAAAACGGAGTCCATTCCCATCACGGAGTAAAGCCCCGCAAGGCCAGCTCTACTGGAGCACGCCCAGTCCTAGAAGGCCACCGGCATGATCCAGATGACACGGAATGCCTAGAAGGGGCGAGTCCATGAAAAGTACGGTACCAGATCCTTACAAGAGCTTCGGATTTGCTGCATTTGTTCGTTCATATGATTACCATTATTTGGCACTGGGGACTGAACTCGGGGCCATTCGGCCACTGAGCCACATGTGTTTCATTTAGAGACAGGGTCTCTCTGAGTTGCTTAGCTCCTTGCTTTTGCTGAGGCTGGTTTGAACTCGCCATCCTCCGGCCTCGGCCTCCCCAGCGATGGGATGACAGGCGTGCGCCACCGCGTTCGGCTTTGTTTTAATTATTTAGGGTCCAGAAAGAGTTGCCACGTCAGACAAGTGAGTTTAAAAATAAAAGCAAATGTCGGACATTAAGGCAGTAGGTCGCGTTTCAGACTGTGGGAACTTCTGGTCCCCCCAACCTGTCTCCCCCGCGCACAGGCACCTGGCCCCACCGCTTCCCGCCGGCTCGGCCGCCCCCGGACTTGGTGCTGGGAGCGGGGCCCAGAGGGGCGGGACCACGCCTTGAGGGCGGAGCTTGATGATGGGCGGGTCCTGGGGCGGGGCCAGATGTCCAGTGGCAGGGGAGGGGCCGAGGGGCGGGGCCAGAGCAAGGCAGGGGGCCTGGCCGGCTCGGGGCCGCGGGGTCCTAGCGCGACGCCGCTGCTGGGGGCGGGAAGCGAGGAGGCCCGGGAGAGCGGAGGAGCCAAGGTGTCTCCAGCGGAGGTTTCCACAGCGGTTGCGGGAATGTGGTGGGGAGGGTCCGTGAGGCGAGTTCAGGAGGAGGTAGGGTCCTGTGGGAAGGGTCCGGGTCC